GTGCTTGGTGTTCTTGAAGCCATTGTCCGTTGGGTTGGCGCCTTTTTGGTTGGCCAGCTGCAACATGTTAGGATTGATGGTCAACTGTCCTCAGCCATCTTGCCTCGTGGTGACTTCCCACAAGGTACTTGCTTGGCTCCCCTTCTCTTCGCTATACTTGTGAGTAGGCTGGCCAGTGAATGGTGTACTCGTCTTAAGTACGTTGATGACCTTACCATCTTGGAACTTATTCCCAGGAACTCTAATAGTTATCTGGCCATTATCGCATCTAATGTAAATAAGTACTCCCTAGAGTGCAATATGAAATTAAACCCAAAGAAGTGTAAAGAGATGGTTGTTGACCTTCTCCAGTATAAATCAACTTGTTCCAGCCCTCTACTAATAGGGGGCGCCCTAATCGAAAGGGTATCCCAGTACAAACTGGGGGGGTCATAGTTTCTGATGACCTTTCATGGAACACACATTGTGAGTACATATACGATAAAGCTTCCAAACGCCTCTATGGGTTGAGGATTCTTAAGAAAAGTGGACTTTCACCTTCCCGACTAGTATCTGTATATTGCAGTACGATTCGCTCTGTGCTCGAATATGCGTCCCCTGTATGGGCGGCACTTCCAGCCTATTTAAGTGACCTTTTAGAACAAGTCCAGAGGAAAGCTCTTTATATTGTCTTCCCTGATCTTTGTTATAGCAACGCACTACATCTTGCTGACCTTGAACTTCTAAGCAATAGGCGGCAACAAGCTTGCGTGAATTTTGCCAATTCCTGTTGTGTGTCAGGATTACTTAGTAGTCTCTTTCAGGTTCCGCTGGTTTATTACCATGGTTATAATTTACGCTCAAGCTCACAATCGTATCAGGCCTCTACTGGCAAATGCAAAAGGTTTAATGATTTTGTAACTGTCAAATTTCAAAATGTATGTCACGACCGCCTCCTGTAATTCAGTTGTTACTGCAATAGGGTTGAATAAACAATTGATTGATTGATTTTGTTATTATTATTATTATTGTTATTATTATTATTATTATTTTTAAATGACAATGCTATGGCAAATATAGGCTAGACATTTTTTAAAATTTGTTTTTACACTTTTTTAGAGTCATTTCCCTTCTCATATACTTTTTTAATGTAATTTACTTTTATAAAAATAATGTTGATGCATGTTTTCTGAAATTCTTTCAATACGAACTAGTAGTTGCTTTTGGGATTTTTATAATTTATATAGGTCGTTTTTGTTATTAAAGTTAGTTTGGGTCTGATACGAGTCTGATCCTAGAGAACCGAATTATAATGATTATTATTGTTGTTGTCATCATCATTACCAACTGAAGCGTGTATCCAATAGCTTTTCTTAGATTATTATTATTATTATTATTATTATTATTATTATTATTATTATAAGCAAGCCAGTCCGTTAGTCAATTAGCTGGTAAGTCAGTTGGTAAGTGTGCTCATAAGCCACTCCATCAGTGGCTCTGTCTTGTTGTGGGTCTGTCCATAGTTCATTCAGTCAGTCAAACTGTCAGTCTGTCATGTGGTCAGTCAGTGAATGAGGGAGTGAGTAATTCAGTCAGCCAAGTACAGCTTCATTTAGTTAACCAGTCACCCAACAAGTCATTCATATGTCAGTTAGTCTTTTAGTCAACCAGTCAGCCAGTCAATGAATCAGTCAGCAAGTTAGCCAGTCAGTCACTTAGTCAGTCATTCAGCCAGTCATTCAGTCAGTCATTCAATCAGTCAGCCAGCCAGTTAGTCTGTTATAGTCACTCACTCAGTCATCCAGTCAGTCAGTCAGTCGGTCAGCTAGCCAGGCAGTCAGTCAGTCAGTCACTCAGTCAGTCACTCAGTCAGTCAGTCGGTCAGCCAGTGATTCGGCCTGTTATCCAGTCAGTCACTCAGTCATCAGCCAGCTAATCATTCAGTCAGTTGCTCAACCAGTAAGTCAGTTAGCCAACCAGCCAATTCTTCGGTCCTTTAGTCAGTCATTCAGTCGGTCAGTCAGTTGGTCAATCATCCAGTCAGTCAGTCAACAACTGCCATTTAGCCAATTTTTTCAGTCAGATGATCTGTCAATAAGTCCCTCAGTCAGATTTCAATCATAATTGTGCTTTTTTTTCCAGAGACCATTAGATGAAGAAATGAAAAAGGTATGTCGAGTGTTCTGCATTTCTAGACAGGCAACAGTGTGAAAGGTTTTGTAATAAAAGGTTTATTTATAGATTATGTTTGCATTAAAATGATGCTATCAGGCTTGTTATGAATGTGCTGCCATGCACATGTAAGGTAAAGCCTGTTTACAAGCCAAGTGGCCCATTGGGCCGGCTATTAAATCCGGTTTCCGTAGCATGAAGTGACTAGGAGTATTGCTACTCCCTCATGGATGGAACGCTAGTCCATCGCAGGATTACCCCCAGCATTAAATACGCCGGTTCCCATTTAAACACCTGATCAATGATGAAAGCTTCTTAGGTTGGTACTCATTTCCTCTGTTCTCATTCTCATTACCCCTTTGCCCCTCAGAGTGACCAGCATCTAATTTCTCCTTACAATATCACCCTTGAGTCACACATTAAGGTCAGGAGAATAAAGGAAATGATCACCTACTATAGAACCTCTTGATTGTTAAACAAATTCTCCTTGTCAGTATATTAGGAAATGTTAAGAGAACAGTATGGAGAATATGCATACTGATATCAGGGTGTAATTTAATGAAGGATTCAGCAGTATTGCTGTAGGGAGAAATTAATGCTGTTCACTCTCAGGATTTAGAGTGTTTAACTCTTGAACTCCCAGAAGTGATTAACATGTAACTTCTCCCACTTAATACCCATACATTATCCAGCAAACAGGTAATGAGAATCAAACACAACGAATATATGAAATTCATATATCTGAACTGCGGTTATAGAGGCATATATTTGCACAATCCTCGCAGTAAAGAGCACTATACAAGCAGTGGTGAAAATCAGACCTGAAAAAAATCAGGCCTGTACGGGATTCGAACCACTGACCTCTGATACTAGTGCAGTACTCTACCAATTGAGCTAACAAGCCAACTGGGAGCAGGTCATCAAATTAGTCCAACATAAACTCGTAAGATGATAAATCAAACACAACGAATTTATGAAATTCATATATATCTGAACTGTGGTGATAGAAGCATATTTGTGCACGATTCTCTCAGTAAAGAGCACTATTTAAGCAATAGTGAAAATCAGACCTGAAAAAATTCAGGCCTGTACAGTAATGAGAATGTTTAAACTTATCAGGTAGAACTTGTTATCTTGATCTAACACCAAATTCTTGTAACTAATTTACAAGAAAATGTGTATTAGCTAGAGGGGAGAGTTAACAATCAGATCTTGGGAGTTTAAGGGTGAAAATGTCCATAACAAGACGAAAAAACAAAGTAAGGAATTAATTTCAATTAATTTCAATGGCTCTTTTGCTTTTGAACCAGTCCTTCCAACTGAAGTTGAAGTTGAATTATTGAGGACCCCGCCTAACAAATCACATGGACTGTGGTCCTGTCCCACTCGTCTGTTGAAATGTACGCGACATATTAAAGCTAAACCCCTTGCAACTCTTATAAATATTTCAATTGAGAGAGGTTTCTTCCCCTCTTAATTGAAGCATGCTGTAATTATCCCCATTTTTAAAGGTGGTGATGAACTGACCTAGTAGTTATCGGCTAATTTCTCTTCTTTCCGTTGATCTTTGTACCAATTCACATTTTTCTCTTAATTTTGCATCCAAGATCGTATCCTGCAGTTTTCACAAATACGATAAACTCGGACGCCCCTGTTATATTGAACACACAGGAAGAACTGACACCACTGCCCTGATGAAGGTTTGTGGTATAACATTTAGAGTCAATCAATTCTTGTTACATATTTGTCAAGGCTTGTTACATATTTGTCAGGCTTAATTTTTCTGCGCCAGAGGAGGGAGGATGCGTGCATAACATTCCTCAAGCGAAGTCACTCTTCTTCCAACCTACTACGAAAGTTAGTGCGGCATTGTGCATTCACAAGACCATATGCCCTTAGGACAGGAGAAACTGTGTCTGTACCTGCCTCTCCAAGATCTAATAGATTCAGAAATTTTTGCACCATCAAATACCAGAACCATGTTTAAAATACCGAATTACAATTCATTTTAATACTCATAGTATTTAATATTTACATAGTATTCAATATTTACATTTGATATCTATAATAGTTATATTTAGGTGTAACATAGAAGTATGTATATTTAATGACCCGCCTTGTAATTCAGTGTATGCTGCAAAAAGGTTGAATAAACGATCATTATTATTATTATTATTATTATTATTATTATTATTATTATAAGTAAAGTGTACTTTTGAAAAAAAAAGCAGAGATTGATGCAAATTTGTTTAAAACATTTTGAAATGCAGATTTAAAGTTAGATTTGTTTGCCTTTTTATATGTAGCTTCCTCAAGACCAATTTATAGGATGGCACATTTGGAACAATGAAAGACAAATTCAAAGAATGATGGAACTTTCCTCAAAATTTGTGAGTAACTTTATATTTAATACAGATTATTTTTTACTTTTCCCCATTAGTTTGTGAGCAGGCCTATTTGAAGATTTGAGATGAGTTGGAAAGGGGTTTGTTGGGAGTCTGGCACTAATTCTTCAGTGTTAGATGCCTCGCCAACCTCTTGCCTGTTTGCATAGCTCAAGAGAGAAATTAGATGCTAGTCACTCTTAAAATGCCCCTGAGATCAAAATTTTTGTACATTTTTTTCATTTTCGTGTTCAGTGTGTCTCCTTCACCTACTCTGTCAAATTTCAGTCTAGAATGAGCTCCACAAATATCTTTTATCAAGCCATTTAATTCGCAATTTCGTGTCAAACTAATGTAAAATCAGACGAACTTTTGCAATATTTATTTGCAAGACAAATGTGCCTCCGTTACACTTTTCACAGACAAAACAAAGAACCACTTTTGTTTCATATCAAACTGAATGCTACCGGTTCAGTCTTCTATCGCCCTTCAGAGCTACTTGGAAAATTGTCCTAACACAACTTGCAGACTGTATCTAAGCCAAAAAATACTTTGTAATTATAACACAATGAGGTCATGGCTCTAAAAAGTCGAAACAAACTCTGCTTTAAACCTCACCGAAGCGACACAACAATAGTCGTCATAAATAAGACAGAAAAAAAAAAAAAAGAGGCCAAAGTGGAACTCAACAACAGAGTTCACTTCAACCCTCTCAAAGCACTAACAGTGAAAAAAAAACACGCAGGAAAGGGTTAATGAAATCATTGACCAAATGCATCAGGGTAAACATATTGATGGCTTGAAAATGGCTTTCACAAATTCCCAATATCTGCCTTGATACACAATCAGCCATTGCTGAAAACAATTTTTATATATCACCGATCATTTCTTACACAAAAGGAAAATCCCTTGCGACAAGCAAAAATGCAATTTGAAGGTGATAAAGCAATGCAACCACAAAAGCCACATGGGGAGTCCGTGCCGTTCTGTGTTTATCTTTATTTGCATGGCAAAAATTCATCGTTTGCTGGTGCGAAACTATCCACAGAAGCTTCAGTTGATTTCTGGGACAATTCATCGTCAGACAAAGTCAACATTTCATGACTGACAACAAAACAGTTCTCAAAAATGTATTACGTGTGATTTTCTCTGAAGCGAACAAAGAGAGTTGTGACAAAGCAAAGCATAAGTTTGTTGAGCCTTTGATGTCATGGTGGCGTTTTATGCTGAACAATTGCAGGCTCGGCTGGAACATGTTTTCAGCAATAGCAGACGATTTTTTAACTACTTTGAAGCGGTGAAAATTGGTCATCGGAGGTTTGTTTTGAGTTTTTAATGGCAAAAAGAGTTTTAACTTGATCCAATTCAACATTCTGTAAACAAATAAGCCCAAAATAAAATGGTCAATTTTCATCTCAGGGGCACTTTCATGGTTAAAGGATTAAGGGAAACCTTGAAAATATGCTGCGATAGCTCAATAAATATATCTTATTAATCAAGCGCGAGGGCCATACTGGGAGAATATTGGCCCGAGGTCTTGACAGTGTGGAGCGAGCGCAGTGAGGGCCATACTGGGAGAATATTGGCCCGAGGTCTTGACAGTATGGAGCGAGCGCAGCGAGGTCCATACAAAAAAGACCAAGGGCCGATATTCTTCCAGTAAGGTCCCGAGCAAGCTTGGTTAATAAGAGATTTATTACACGACTGAAGTTCAAAGGGACACAAGTGTGGCATCATTTGGGACCATTCGGGACAGTGCCCGGTCCAATACTGAGAGAATATTGACCGGCAATAGAGCATTTTGATTGGTTGATTTAGTTATTGGCCCTCTGACTTCCCGAGTCATGTAACAAAAAGTTTTAGTTCTGAGCACAAGGGTGAATCTAGTAATCTTGGAATGTCTTCTTTGTTGCAAGTCCCAGTAACAGTCACAGCATAGTTTTTATTTTTTGTGAAAAGTGATCAATTTGTTGAGAAAGACTCTTTACACAGTTTTTGTTTTCCTTTGGTTCACAGGGACAACCAATAGAAACAATGGTTCATATTCATGATATGGCCGGAGCAAGTATGTTTCTAAGGTGAATCAATAAGTAAATCCATCAGCCGTTTGCACCCTAACATCAGTATGTATATTCTCCATACTGTTCTCTATACATTTCCAAGGGTGCTTACAAGGAGAATTTGTTTAATGATCCAGAGCTTTTTTTACAGTTGTTGATCATTTCCTTTATTCTCTTGACCCTTTTGTGTGATTCAGGGGTGATATTGTAAGGAGAAATTAGATGCTGGTCACTCTTGGGTGGTTAATGGGGTAATGATTCAAGTTCATCCTATAGGATCATTGCAGACAGGATTCTGAGTGTGTGATCCCATCAGCTACTTACTTGTTTTAAAAATGATTAGAACTTGAAATGACAACAATTGTACAGGATCATAACAGTACAAGTTGATTTTGTTTTGGTTCTCATTCTCTAGAATGCATGTAAATTTATACCCCTACTTCAATATACTGTTAAGTAGCTTGTCTAAATTCATATTGAATAAATTTTGTATGTTTTTCTATTGTCTTTTGGACAGGAAAACCTTGAATTTCTTCAAAAGAATAGCAAAACTTGATCAAGATTACTACCCTGAAAGAATGGGAAAGGTATGTATTTGGTACATTGCAATGTTGCTAATGTATAATATAATGGGTTTTGCTAAACACAGGCCCTAGGTGCCTACATGACATGTAGATAAGCTACTGACCTAAACAGTTGAGTTGCAGGATTGCAGGTCATAAATAATGGGCTGCTGTGGTCCGAGGTGGATAGCCACCTTAAAGCCTGAAACCATAATATGATGTTGTATTTGTATTTAAGAATTTGTACAAAGTACTGGAGCAGAAACAATAGGACATAGGTCCCCTACGAGGTTTAAGCTCCAACAAACCCACCCATCCCACATTCATTTTAATACTCATAGT